AAAACGAGGTTTACCTCCTATTAAGAAGGATCATTTATGTGGTGAGTTGATACTGTAATATTAGGGCAGCCCACATATCATTTGAATGAAATGAACATTGGGAATTACAATACAAATTGAAATATACTTTGAATTATTATTTACTTCTGAAAACATTTTTGTTCTTGGGTTGTTAAATTGTGAAATGGTATCAAAACATTTGTACGAAGGGCAGCAATTGGAGGTATTTGAAAATGGCATGCTATGGAGGGTGTGTTTTTCCTTGAATACATTTTTCTAAATAAGATTGGCCAATAATTGAGGTATGTGCCTTACTCATGATGAGGTTGGCTACGCTACTTACTCCAAGTGCCATCTTAACTTTCACAACATCCTTTTCGTTTCATATACCTGCACTTGATGTGTAAGGTGCTGTACACATGTTCTGCTAAGCATGAGTACTAAAGGATTATGATCTTTCACTGTTAATGTAAAACTGAAAACAATTAAAAGGACAGTATAAATTGTTCTCCCACTGACATATTTTCTGTGAGGTATTTATTTTGGTTCTCATACAAGGAATAGTACATAAAAATTAATAACTTGTTTTCCAGTGTGCAGTACCACACTCTGGGTTGGACACCTGTCAAAATTGGTACACCAGGAAGAACTGTCGGATACTTTCGGTGAATATGGAGATATTGTGTCTATCGATTTGATCCCTCCTAGAGGCTGTGCATTTATTTGTATGAATCGGCGACAAGATGCATACAGGGCACTACAGAGGCTGAAGAATCATAAGCTGCAGGGCAAGGCCATTACGGTGAGTAGATCTTGTTCATTCCGGAGCTGTGGTACATTTGTTGCAAAAAGTACACAAGATAGATATTTATAAGTCAAATAAAGTATGGTCATATTATAAAGTAGTGATTGTTCTCTGAACTTTTTCTTCCTTGAAAAATCACATACCATATTTGCTCAGATGAACTGTCTAAATTCAGTACTTAATTTGCTAATTCTCTTTCTAAACTAACCAACTCCCTGGTAGCAGAACCTGCAGGTCCAACACCAAAGCCTGCCACCAGCCATCACCATCCATTTACCATTTACCATCCAGGGTTGTGATTTCGTGTAGACTTGCAGGTAGATACCAATATTTCAGAGGAACATACTATCTGAAGATGGAGACAGTACGTTTGTCCGAAACGTTGGTATCTACCTATGAGTCCACATGGCATCATAACCGGAAGAATATCATCGTCTTGATGGCTGTTTTGTTGACGTATCACTTTTTGTAGTTGGCCTGGGCTCCTGGTAAAGGAGTTAAGGGAAAGGAATGGAAGGATTACTGGGAAGTGGACCTTGGTGTTTCTTATATCCCTTGGGTAAAACTTACTCGGGATTCTGATTTGGATGCTGTGGAGGAAGGTGGCATGATTGATGAAGAAACCGTTCCAGAGTGGATTAAGAGTAAGTATTGTCAGATTCATGATACTTATTTAGGACTGTGTTCATAGCCCCGTTAACTTACATCAAAGCACAGCCATGTTGTATTGATGCACTTTTTCGCTCACAGGCCACATGCAACAGCAGCAGCAACAGCACCAGCAGGAACAGCAGCAGAATTCTGTTCCATCCACTCCAGTGCTAGGCCCTGACCAGATATCTGCTGCAGACATGGGGGTCTCAGCCCCCCCTCCTGGCTTCATTCCACTTCCTGAAGGTTTGCCCGTACCTGCCTCTGCCATCCCCACTACCTCAGTGGCACAAGGCGTAGGAGTCGACACATCACAACCTCCACCCCTGCGACCACCAGAGGGAGGATTATCTGCTCCAGGACTGCCAGGGATTCCAACCGGAATGCCTGGAACTATAACGGGTGTACCGCCACCGGGTGCAATGCCTATGGTATCACCTTTTGCTCTTCCCAATGTACCTCGTAAGTTGTGTCTCATACAAGAGATTCTTTTTTATTTTAATCTTTAAAGCATCCACATATCCTGGATATTAATCATGTTTGCTTGAAATACCAGTAGCAACCGTCATAGTTTTATTGTTTTAGTTTTGAGTGATGACATTATGTCTAACAACGATCAGAGAAATTTACAGCTTCCATTTGAAGTGGTGGCTGGCCGAAGAGTCTTGCGAAAGAATTGTGTACTTAAAAAATTGTTAATTGTCATTTATTCACACTTATACAGATATAAGGCAGTATTGTGAATAATTAATTCAGAAATTCTGATAGATGTTCTCAAGGTGTTTAGGTAAGCATGAAACTAAATTTGAAGTGTGTCTTGCCTGAATATCTCATATCCAGTTGTAGGGATGTAGATGAAGTTGGGAATTTGCTTTCTGGTTGATGGATGTAGGAATGTTGATCACAACTTTGGCCACTTTTTAGGGCCATTTTTCTCTGTTGAGAATCAGTCTGTGGAATTCCTCACTGTCTTCATACCAGATGAAGGGGAAGGTAGTTTGCTCATGAGCCCATGAGGTAAAATATAACAAAATGTAATACCACATTATTTATGAAAACATGAAGATGAATGTTTGTGGTACTGCAAAGGGACGGCAGGAAGTAGGGTGTCATCTCGTTTCTTACCAAAGTTTGCAAGATTATTGTGAGAATTTTGAGGTGTTGTCAAGATATTATTTCCTGGTGATTCTCTGGGTATTCTACTTGATTTTTTTTTCTTTCCTTATTTGTTGCTGAGCTTTGCCATAGATATTTTCACTAATATATTTTATAAATGTTGTTTATGAAATCATGGATAATTAAGTTTCTTATAATGTAGAGGCTAACATTCACTTTTGAAATGTAAAAGTTACGATTTTGTCCACAGAAAACTTTTGTAGGTTATACAACTGATCAAGGATGATTTGTTTCTGCACTTCTGTTCTTCTGTTGTGCCTTTTTTGTAATCTTGTTATCAAGTTGCATATATCTGTCCGTCCATCTCTTTTTTGCAATTCAGGCGTTGATATCAACTGATTTTCATGTTGTTGTTAAACACTATGAACAGAATGCCATTGAAGGACTATCTTTTTCATTATTTTTTCTGTCTTGCTGTTTTCTCTTTCTATCTGGCTTTTTCCTTTCCATGTTACTTTTATTCTTTTTGTCTTTTTTTCCCTCGTTCTAATTCCTGACAGCTTTTAATGTCAGCAGATGGCTAGTGACTTGCTGATAGTTTTATTGTTTCTATTCATCTGGTCTCTTAGCTCCAATGGGCATGGCTATGGGCCATGGAATGATGCCAAATGTCCCAATTGGTGTTCCTCCTCCAGCCATGCAGGGTCTGCTGATGCCACCTACTGGACAGATGATGCATCAGCAAATGATCGGTGGTGTGCCCCAGCCAGTCAACTCCCCCTTCAATGCAGGCCGTAAGTACTTTTGTGGATACTCTGAACACTTAGTTCAAATTACAATTCATTGACGTTTATGCCAGCATGCTCCATTTCCACTCTCATTTACCTGCCCACAGATATTTCAGTTATAATTTTTTCTGTTCTTTCCATATTTTGTGTACTGGAAGTTGTACTTAAGGAGTTAGTTCTGCTGTTTTATATTTGGGAGGGCCCAGTTTGATTTTTGGCCCAGAGGCCAGCTGTTCTTATTGATGTCTCCCTCTCCCCCCTAGTCCCTGTATGCAAATTCAGTTGTAGTGTCTTCGGAGAGACTGAAGAGAAACAAAAATCTCAGTCATTTTGGCCCCCTGCAGAGATTCAGACTGGGTTACCTTCTGAATGAAAGTCTGGAATGTTGCCAGTACACAGTCATGAATATGTAAGAACTGTGATAACTCAGGTATGTGACAACTTCCTCTTTCTACATTATTCCCTGTGAACTATTATTGTTGTTGCTGCCCTATCCAGTGGACAATTTCAGGGTGAAGTCAAGCAGAACATAAAGCTAACAATCTTTAACTGTATGCTCCCTATATGCCTTCATGGAATGGTACTTAGTACTCTTTAGAACTGTACAGCTTCTCTACACAAGATGCTTGTTCCAGCTGGCACCCCAGTGGGCATCATACCTGGACCCCATCCCCATGGCCAGTTAAGTCAGATCCCTCTTCCTGCTCCTGCAGCCCCCCAGGATAAACCCAATACTGGGCTTCCCCACACAGCACCTCCTATTGGAGTGCCACCTCCCACGTCTGAAGCCAACCTGCCAGGGCTGAGTGAAGCTATGCTTCGTGTCCCTTTCGGAGTTCCGCCAGGGATGCATCCACAAGGTAAATGTGACATACAAATGTGGTAGAGATTAGATAGAAAAATATATTTATTAAACATAGTGTTCTGCACATTAAAGGGATATCACGGCCCTGTCAGATGTCAAAATTAAAAGTTCCCATTAAGCACCATGCTATCAAGGCTTGTAGGGTTAAAATCCCACACATTCTAGACCTTGGTATTGGATGGAGGTGAGTGGTAAAATAAATAATCTGGGTGCTTTACCTCCAGGACAAAAACTCCTCAGTACCTACTTGATAGGTTGGTTGGCCCCAGACTGTAGAAATAGTTGTGGTGGAGGGAAAGGTCCTGTATCTGCTGTAGTTTAAGTGAAATCTGTGAGTTAGCATTTCCATTAAAATAAAAGGTGAGGTGATCAGAGGGATGGAAAGATCAGGGCCAGATTTAGGGGGTTGTAACAGGGGTGGGAGCCTCCACATTTTGTTTGTCCCAGGCCCCCCCACACACACACAAGTGCAAATCTGGCCATGGGAAGGGTAACAGGTAAAGAACTGTCTATCCCAGCAACAGTACATTGTAGCTTGCTGTCACATTTCCTATGTCAGTAATGTCTTTGGTTTATGTGATATGTGTCTTTTTCCTCTATCTTCAAGCTAGTAACATAGGTGGAACATGCAGTTTTGTCCCTGTGTTGTACTTTGCTCACATTGCTATCATTCATAAATGGGGTTTGATTGATGGGCATGTGCAATAAATATGGATAAATGAGTGTACACTCTTACACTGATTTTTGTTGTTGTTGTTGTTGTTGTTATTCAGTATTATTTTGCAGCCCGCAACATTCCCTTGCGAGTAAATGCTGAGGGTGGGAACATGGAGATGGATGTTCCAGATGGTGAACCACCAAAGACAAATGAGCAGGCAGATGGATTGATGAGGTAAGAATGCAGTGCACCTGTCACTGCTTTCATTCAAAATGGCAGTTTTTCCCTCTTTCAGTCTTGAGGTAAACCATATTTTCTCATATGATTTGTTATAATGGCTTATTTTGAAGTTTCCTGAATTAGAGTTTAGGTGATTCTGAACTTTAGTTTTTCCGCATACCTCACTGCGATCTTGAGCGGAGTTTTATACTAAGCTGTTACTGTAATTGACTTAGTGTCTGAAAGGAAAGCAAGATTATGATATCTCTGAGCTGTATTAATGTACTCTGTTCTTTCATGCAGTTCATATTGTGCAGGCAGAAGAGTTATTTGATGTTTGATATTGTTTCTTCAGGATAAGTGACCCGATGTTGGCTGCCTTGGGTGGCAGAGGTGCACCACCATATGGACACCCTCTTGTAGGACAACCAATGCAACAAGGCCTCCCTCCCCACCTAGTGGCTCTTCAGCCACCCCATCTCCAACAACAGATGCAACAACTGCCACCACTGCAGCAACAAGACCATCAGTCACAAACACAACCATTGGCACAGCCCCCACAACCAGCAACATCTGATCAACCGCAGCAAAAGGACAGCTCAAACAAGTTCAGTCAAGAACAGGACTCTTCTTCAAGGGAAGGCAGTGAATTATCAGAAAGGAATCGGAATCGCGAACGAAATAGAGATCGTGATAGAGACAGAGATAGAGACCGTGACAG